GAGGAGGAGGGGGAGAAGAAAGCAATTGTCAAAATGTAAAAGCAAAAATCAGCAAACAACTATAAACCAGAGACGTTCTACAGGGGTAGAGAGGGGAACAGGATCAAAACTGCGGTGGGAAGAGTACATGGGACTGTGGTGATGGCACATGGGTAAATTGGTGGTGGGAAGTCCATGAGGATAACAACTGAGATGAAAAAATGTACAAAATGAAGAATGATTCAAAAACTATGTGTAATAACACAAATGTAAAAAAAAAATAAGTTGAATTACCTTTTAAAGATCCTATCTTCAAATAGTCTGAATTAAATTATATTCCTTCTGAATTTCACATGGTGAAACCTCAACCCCACAACGTGACTCAATTTGGAGACAGGGCTGTTAGTAGGTGACAGAAAGGGAGGTCCTGTCCCAGACTGGATTAGGAATGAGAGAGCACTCCGTAAGCATGTGAGCCGCAGTGGGAAGGCGGCCATCTGTGAGGCAGAACTTGACCGTGCTGGCACTCTGACCCTAGGCCTCCAGCTCCAGAACTGTGAAAAATTAAATTTCTGTTGTTGAAGACACCCAGTCTTCCATATTCTGTTGTGGCAGCTCAACAAGTGAGCGTGGAAGCCTCAACATATGAAAGTGAGATCAAACACTGAACCCATGGCAAGTTACAGCAGTGAGTGAACAGCAGTAGTGTGGTGTGCACGACACAGGAGAAAGGCTGATGTTAATTAACTGATGGGCATGTCAATGTAGAACTTGAGTAATGTGTACTACAAAGGAGGGTGAGAGATGATAGAAACTCTAATGAGAGGAATCAGATGACCCAGCCTAGGAAAATCATGGGAACTTGTCTCAAGTAGGTAAGCAGGGTGACTAAGCTTTGAGAAAACTATGAGTAAATCTGCTAGGAAGGAAGTGGTAGGGGAAACAGGAGGTGAAGAAAGCAAGAGACTCAGGGAAGAATCTGAACAGCGACCCCTGGGGGACTGTGTTAGGAGCTGCAATAGCCATTGAGGCTGAAACACTCAAAGTCAGAGACATATATGTCCAGCTCACAAAGTTAACCTTGACCCTCACCCTCACTCTAGCCCTAACACTTCTGGGTCTTGTTAAGGATAGAATGTGATGATGGTTTTAAATAGCAGAATGACCACAATGACCTGGTCAGATTTTCATTTGGATACAACTGCTGTGGCAGCAGAGAAAATTCAGCCAAGAAGGGCAGGGATCCAAACGGGGAAATCTAGAGGAAGATGGTGCAGTGGTGTGGATGTCTATGGAGGAGATGAAAGTGGTCCAGAAAGGTTAGGAGAGCCAGCACTAGAGCAAGAACCAGATCTGAAGATCCTGTCTCCAGCATAGTCTGCTCCAGCAAAACTATTTCTTCTCCCTGACCTTTAAGCTCTAGGGCTTATTAGAGTCTTCCTGATTTTGACCCTCATTCCTGAGGCCCCTTTATGGACTCTCCTCACTCTGCCTTTACTTCTCTATACAGTTGTTTCATTAACTGTCTCTGAAAATACTGCTCAAGGGGGGTCTTCTTTGTCCAGCTGGGACCTTCGTTGACCCAACAGCCTGTTTCCTCATGGTTCTAACATTCAGCAATTCCTGAAGGTCAGACGCTTCCCACCCTGTCATTTTCTGCTTTCCTTTCTTCTAAGCCGATGCTGATTCGAGAGACTGAGAGAAGATGAAGACACAGAGTGGGATGCTTTGCTCCCCTGAGCTGCAAAGGTTTCTGCTCCTGACTATAGAAAAATTCCATCCAGCTGTTTGCTGTCCTTGCTGTATAACATAGCCCAGAGCCCAAACAGACTTTTGGGGGGCCATGGGGAGAGTGTTCATACCAGCCCCCACCCCAGCCTATTCCACCCTGCCCACCACTTTCTCCTGCCACCATCCGTCCTGACCCTGTTCTGTGGTTCTATCAATAGCAATATATCTAGTTGTCCAAACAAGCTACGTTACCTCCTGGTATCCACTGAGCTCTGCCTCCCTAGAGTGGCAGAATGCTTGCCCGTCGCCTGTATGAATGCAACAGATGGTGCTTGATCTGAGCATCGCAGGAGGCCTGGAAAGGGAGGGAGGCGAGGACAAACGCTGCCTCTTTCTAATTGACATATGAGAGACTGTCAATTTTAATGGGAATGAACACTGAGGCCTGAGGAGAGGAGCCACAGCCCCCAAGTCAAGACAGAGAGAGGAGCAGGCGAGGCAGGGAAGGAGAGGGAAAGAGAAGAAGGACATGAGAGGAGAGAACATGAAAACAAATGAAGAGGAGCAGAAAAGCGAAGGAGTAGGGACAGGAGAGAGTGGAAACAGAAGGCCGGAGCAGGGAAAGGAGAAAGCAAGAAGAATGAGGATGTTCAGTGCCTCTACAGAAACCAATGCGGTGTATCGGCCCCCAAGCTTCTGCCTGATGTTCAACTCTGCAGAGCAGATGCGTCTACATGCTGTGTCTACACTGA